CGTGCGAGTCGTTTGGAAAATGACGAGTCTCTCTCGCGCGCGGCGACTTACCTCGCGCGGCGGCGACGCTGGCGCTGAGAGGTAGACTTTGCAGTCGCAGGTCGGGGTTGTAATTTGAGACGAGGGTGAAGGCGCTGAAACGGTCGGGGACGGGTTGGCAGAGGCCCGAGGGTGCATTGGTCGAGGCGATGGTGCTCGAACTGCTCCCGGGCACGCCCGGGCTCCAGGGCGAAGGCGGCAGTGCGATCACGCTCGGGCTGCTGGGCGGCGAGAGGGTGACCGGGGGTGACAAGGCGCCCGCCGGGATTCCTACGGGATTGCAATGGAGTTCCGGTTTCATGTGCCAAGTTCGAGGTACCGCTTCTGTTACGGGAAAGTAAAGAGCATGATTTACGATATCGGTTCAGTCGAGAGAGTCATTAGGGAGGGGGGGGGGGGGAGAGGGTGATAAATATCGGCAGAGAGAAAGAGACAAGTCGGACGCGTGATTCCGCTCGTGCAGATCAGAGGCGGCGAAAATGTGAGAAGCGGCTTCCTCGGCGCGGAAACAGATCGTCCCTTTCGCCGCGCTCGCTGAGCGACGAATCAACGCGTCGATCCGACGACAAATCTCGCGGAGAGAGATCTCGCGAGCAATTATTGCCGTTATTATTACGGCATTCGCTTTACTCGCCGCTCCGCAGCGCAGCATTGAGAAGCGTGATCTCAGGCCTCTCTCGGCCTCTCTCGGCGTGGCTGCGTCGGCCGCTCTATTTCTGTAGCGTTTAATGTCGAAAATTATCATGGAGGCACCGCGGCATAAATAAACGGCGAGAACGTTAGCTACGAGCTGCCATTCCGCTCGAAAGCATGCGTAGAAGCCGCATTCCGTGAGCGCGTTCATTATGTACACGAAACATATCCGTTCGCGGAGGGATGAATAATACATGGAGCCTCGGAGCGGATTCTTTCGTGACGCGTTAAATCTGATGACGCTGATCGCGAGCGACGCGATCGAAATTGTTTCGCCGATCGCGCGCGTTTCGCGCATGAATGAAGGAACGATTACGGGCCAAATCACGACCGGTGGCTACCGTCGTCGTCGTCGTCGTCGTCGACGCGACGGGCATGCCTTGAATAACAAAACGCCGAAATGTATCTGGTGCTTTCGAACCGCGGATGATACTCCGTGCAGACTTGTAAAAGAAAATAATGCTTCCAAGCAAATGGCAACTGCGCTAGTGATTGATTGTTGTTACAACTAACTGTTCCTTATTCCTATTATTTTTCCTCTTGCTGATCGAGTACGCGCATGATGGACGTCGTGATATCGCGACATCGCGATTTTTCGCGATCGTTACGTCGTACGTGTAAAGTGAGTACCATCGAAAATCTCACAGACAGAAATTCATCATAAGCAACCGTGACGCCTCGCGGCCGAGCATGCTGTTTTTGCGAAGTAGATAGTTTGAATATTTTATTATGCATGTGAATTTCGAGACACACAGCCCCGTGCTCTCCTTTCTTTCTGCGGTTCCCCGCAGCTGAGAATCCCCTGCTGTATATCCGTGTGTTGAACTCGGACGCTTCTCTCTATCGGAGGAGATCGATCTCCCAATCGAACCGCGTGAGAAACGATCGCGCGACGACGAACGCGCGCGGCTGCGGATTCGACTCTCGAAGTCGTCGCTCGGACTTCTTCCTTCTAGAATTCGACGCGCTTCGCTGACATTCGCCATTTGCATTCGCCGCCGTGGAAACGCCGTACGATTTAAAAACCCTCAATATTCATAACGGTCGCTCGGTCGAGGTTATTTAAACGTCGCCGCCGTGCCCGTTATCGCTCCGTTGATCTCGCTCACCGAATAAATAAGGGATGCTCATGCCCGTTGCGTTTAACACGAGCGCGCCGGCGTTTAATGCACCGCGTCGGCGCTCGTCGCCGCGCTTCACGTGTATCAGATTCGCGGTGGGATAAAAAGCCCGCGCAAAAAAAGGGAAAAAGGCACAGCGACAGAGAGGAGAAGGGCGAGAAAGAGGGAGCGAGGGCTAGGGAGGGGAGGGGAGGGGGCGAACGGGGAAGAAATCACAAACAGCGCGGCACGGCGCGACGCGACGCGACGCGACGCGACGCGACGCGCGGCGGTTGTCGGCCGGCGAAATGAATTATAAATCGCGCGACGTGCGTGCCCGCGCGACTCGTGACGAGCGAGCGAGCGAGCGAGCGAGCGAGCGAGCGAACGGACGGACGGAATCGAGAGACGAGATCGTAATCGGCGAGGTCGGACAAACGTGATTGCTCAACGAGCTTCGTTCGCGACGAGCCGCGCGATAAAAGAGCCGGCCGGGCTCTCGAAAGCGCCGATTAGCGATCGGGTCAGCGGCAACCGGCATTGTGCGGCTAAGCCGTGCTGATAAGCGCGAACGGTATACTTTCGATCGGTGCAATGTAGCGCAGTACGGTGCTGCGAAATCGGTAGAGCGCTAGCTCGGGCTCTTCGGTAGATTAGATCGAAGCGCGCGAGCGCAGCAGGAAAATCTCGATCCCGATTTTTCGAGGCGCGACAGGCGGTTCAACGAGGGCGAGTAAGAGGCAACGCTGGTCTCTGAGAAATCTGCGATTTTAAAATTAATTGAGGTAATGAAATCTGATTGAGGCGAAATATCACTTTGCGCTCTTCATTCGGAGCGCATTCCTGCGATTCTAAATCATTAATCAAGCCGATGAAATTTGATTTCGGCAAAATCACTTTGCCTCCTGCATTCGGACCGCCGCATATCTGCGATTCTAAAATTAATCAAGCCAATGAAGTTTGATCCGGGCAAAATCACTTTGCCTCCCGCATTTGGACCGTCGCGTATCTACGATTCTAAAATTAATCGAGGTGATGAAACCTTGACTCGGGCAAAATCACTTCGCCTCTTTATTTGGGCCGCCTTTCGGCCGGTCTTTCTTGCCTCGATCTCCTTGTTATTTCGGGAGTAACTTTTATCTCCTTTGTAACTTGTCACTCGCCCTGATTGTAGACCAGCGGCTCTTGCTTGTCTCTCGTCCGCGTTATTTCGTAAATAATTCCAATCTCCTGTCAGTAATCTATTATTAACCGCCATATCACAGGCCAACGTCGCGCGGTTGCCATCGTTCTTTCGCCGTCGACCGCGGGCCGATTTCTTCCACGCGTCCTCGTGTGCGATTTACACGCAGATTGTGGGCGCCACGGCGATATTCGAGGCTACGATCGCGTCTGTTCCAGCCGGGAAAACGAAACAGTCGCTTCGCGTGAAGCGGCGGACGCGTCGCGGAGCGTCGATAACCCGCGAAGTAAATCACTAGTCCGAAGGTCCCCCATCGCGCTGATAAGAATCGCGCCTGGACATAAACTACGGCTAATAACCGCTACTCGTTGTTTGAATAAATCTGTAATGCGCGTTCGCGACGAGCCGCATTCCTGTATAATTCATAGCCGATGAGCCGGCAGCGGGAATTCGTTGCTCGTTTCCATAGATAACGGCGCGCTCGTTGCGATTCTCGGCCGATCGCCCGGCGGTACTCATTGCGAATATAAGTTATCGCGCCGCGTAACTTTCGGCACCGGACGAGTCAAGGTGGGCGACGAGCGCGCTGCGGCACGTTCCGAGCGTATTCGGGGAAACAGGACGAAGAGGAAAGCTCGGCTGCAACGATCACCGCGTTCGGACGAATGTTCTTTTCCCCTCTTTCTTACCTCTACGGATAAAATGCGTTAAATGCTATATATATACAATGGCGATGTGAAAAGCGGAGGAGATGGACAGCGGATAAATCGGCCGAGTCATCGTCCAGTCCTCGAGTTTGATTAGTCGCGGGTAACCAGAACTCGAGTGAGACGATTTTGCGAATTATCGGGGATATATGTGTTGCAGACGCGAACGTGGGACGGAAGTGTCAAGCGAAGCGAGAGAGCAAACCGGTCGGAAGGGTCGAGATCTCTCGGGAGGAAGTTTCCGAGCGATCGGCGTCTCGATTAGATGAACGTATTTTCACAAGTGGCAGCAACTTAGCGATACATCGCGGCCGCGCTTCTGCGTCCTTGTTGTCTAAGCGTCACGTCGACCGCGAAAATAAAGAGCCTTGTTTGTTGCACGCGTGAGAATAAATCATAAGCGTCGTTCACCGATTTCCTGCTAAGCTTATAATTTCCGCGATAACGTCAAGAAAGCAACAGGAGAGAAAGGAAAGAGAGGAAAGAAAAGGAGAGAGAGAGAGAGAGAGAGAGAGCGTTACGTTAATACATCAGGGAATAATTTACCACATCGATATCGCAATTAATTAATATCGGTTGATGCGATGATGCTACTTCAAAGTATCTGCGCAGAACGGGTTAACGAAAAAAAGAAAGGAACGGGCGGCGGGAGGAGGAGGAGGCGAAAGAAGGGGAAACGAAAAGGGGGAGATAAATCCATACAGAGACACCTCTTGATCGCAGGTATTTTCCAGTGTTAGCATTCAATCAACGTCCAAATTGCAGCTGCAGCGTATACCGAACGTGTGCGAACGTTAACTGCCGATGTTTTCGCGTCCCCCGACGACTCTCTCTCTCTCTCTCTCTCTCTCTCTCTCTCTCTCTCTCTCTTTCTCGCAGCACATTTCAGAAAAAAACGACAACAAACACCGCACGCTCGTGTGCGATAATCGTGTGCGTAATAACAAAAATCTTCGATTAATGACGAAGATTGATTGACTCAACGGCCGGAACACTTGTGGAAATGCCGGCCGTCGCTTCAACAGATTCGCCACGTCAACTACGTCATTTCTTAATTTCACACTTGAGAGTTGGCGTGTTTGTGTATGCTGCATGTAGCGAGCAAAGCTGCAAATTCCGAGCCAGTGACTCGCCCGTTCCTCTCCCCCCTCCTCCCCCTCCTCCTCCTCCCTTCCCCCTTCGTCCCCCCTCGTCGCGTCGCCGAAATTGATAACGGCGTTGCGAGAAGTTCTCCCTTAATTATCCAATTAATCACGCCCGTGACTCACACAATGTTCTCGTTAACGCGCGCTGTCAATCGCGCGCGCGCGCGCGCGCGCCCACGGGCGACTCTATTTATCGGGGTTCCGTCCTTTCCGACGATTTCTATGCGCACGGCCGCCGCGCGCGCTTATCTCGACGGAATTTCCCGATTTCGTCGCCGCCGCGGCGTGCTGTGCTGTCGTATTTCCGACGCGTCGCGCTCGACGGCAAACAAAACGAGAGAGGATATCCGCCAATCAACGGACCGCGCGAGCGCGCCAGACAACCGATCGATGACAAATGGGGGACCTCGAATCTCGCGGCCGGCCGATCGCGCGTGTTTGCTCGTTAATTACTAAAGTAACTCTCACCGCGAGAACACGCACGAAATCTCGATAAACAATCATGAGTCGCGCGGGCGCGATCGTTTCATCCGTGTTGACACACGCCGGGCCTTGATTAAGAACTGTGTGAACAAGTGTCGAACATGTTCTTCCCCGTCGCGGCCTCCGGATGACGAGACGGCGGATTTCTGGGCTAAGTCATGGGCGTTGTCGCGCTGCATCCTCGAGAGCCGGCGCGAAATTAAAAATGCCCGCCTTTCGTTCTTTCGTTTGTTCCTTCGGTTGTCTCCTCCGGTGATCTGTAGATCACCGGAGATCGATCCGGAGCTCTCAGCTTCCGTCTCGAGCCCGCTCGACTTTTCCTGCGAGCCCGCGAGGGAAGGATTAAGAAGCGAGACCTTGAACGCGCGCGCGCGGTATCTGGGTTTTGCGCGAAAAACGAAGCTATTCTGCTAATGTTTTGCAAATATTTGCAAATGCAGCCGAGTGACGTACGCGAGCTCGTCGTGTCTCATAGCCGGCGCTCCGCACAATGTCCCGGAAAATTACAGTGAGTTTCACGCGGTTCCACTTTAATTATGCGCTTGGGAAATACGACTGTTCCAATGCATCGTATTACGGTTATCATTCGCGGAACTTATCACTGCGCTGAGCTGCGCCACGGTTATAGATTGGTACACGTGTGTCACTCTCGTGACATGTGAACGAAGACTCTCGTTTGCGTAAGCGACCGCTTGCTGCTTTTATCACGAGAAAGAAGGACGGAATTTTGTAAAGGTAAATGAGCCTTCGCTTTGAATGCTTCAAACGCTTTTACATTCCACTGGAGTTTTAACGAAAAATCACGGCGACAGGGGCGCCGGCGCGAGGACACGGGGGAAATTCCGGAAATTTCTGATCGGGTCGAGTGCGAAGAGGAAAAGGGAGGAGTGTGAGGACAAAGGTGGTCCGGCTCGTTGGAGCGGATTGCGCAAGTGATCCGAGTGAAGATCCGAACGGCGGCGGCACCGTTTTTGCGAAATAATCGCGCGGAATCTCACGAAGAGTGTACGAGCGTACGGTGCGTACGTGTGAGGAAAGTGCGCGCGGGTGTGACGACTTGGCGGCGACTCGCGGAAGTCCGTCCCGACGAAAGTGTCACGGCAAGATTGGCCGGCCGCTCGGAAATTCGAGGTAAATCGAAACACGTAGCTGCCGATATCATCTTTCCAGCATCTCGGCGCGATAAGATCGGCCGGTTAATCGCCGTCATGGTGGGATACACTTGGCGCAGCTGTTAACAATTATCGCGATAACGTTAACAAGTAACGCGCTACACCGCGAGGGTAGAGGAAGCGCGGAGAGGTAGTAGAGGCGAGATTCGCATCGCTCTTCGTGCAGCGCACGAAACGTCAAAATAGCGAAACTACGGCAACGTGCGTACGGAAGCGACGACGCGGAGATGCCTCTCTCGGCTCGGACCGCCTCGAGACGTGGCGGGGGAGAGACAGGTGCAAAGTCCGCAAAAGTGCAAGTGGCTGCTTCCGACAAGGAACGCGACTCTGAACATCGTGGAAATGCTTGCAGGCTGTTGAGAACAGCCCGAGTCGTCGTCGCGATTCACATGAAACTCGCGTCGCGTTTCTGCTGGAACTCGCGAGAAACGCTTCACGTATGACTCTTTGGCTCGTACATTCTGACTCTCTTTCTTTATCGTTAAAAGTGAACTACGAAAGCAGCTCGTAAGCCTCCTGATCGCTTGCAAGTCACTTTTACAATCACACTTTCACAGTGATGAAAGAGAATTCAGAATATACGGACCTTTGCCCCGCCCCTCCCCCCGTGTCTCGTTCGTTTCGGTCGTTCATCTTCCGCGACTCCTCGTTCTCGTTTCCTCGGCTTCGGCCTCCTCGCTTTCGCCCGACGACGTCGACGACGTCGACAACGATGTCGCGCCGCATGTCTACTCACCGTACATTACGCCCAGCTGTGTGACGAACGATGCGCTAAAATTCCACGCCGCTCATGGAGTCCCCGTGCACTATCCCCCCGAGCTCGGCCCAGCACTGCTTAGATCAGTCGGCCGAGGCGAGGCGATCACACAGATTGTCCGCTGACGTCGGCGGCGGACGTCGAACTTTCGCGGCACACGTCCTTTTCTCGCACAGGTTACTATCTCGCGCGTGAAACGATGACGACCTCTCTCTCTCTCTCTCTCTCTCTCTCTCTCTCTCTCTCTCTCTCTCTCTCTCTCTCTCTCTCTCTCTCTCTTCTCTCTCTCTTCTCTCTCTCTTCTCTCTCTCTCTCTCTCTCTCTCTCTGTCGCCGGCCGGCTCCAAGAGACGCGGGACCGAAAGTTCCCCGATTCGACCTTGAGGCTGGCCCCGTTCGCCAGCGGGTTACAGCCGAGTCTCCTCCGGGGCCACGTGCTTCACACCAAGGTCGATCGTGGCGAGAGAACGTGGTGAGCGCCGCGACCTTGTCTCGCGCGAATTTCCAAACTCTGCAGCTCGGGAGTTGCCTCCGGCAACTTGGAAAACGTCTCTCTTCTGCGATAGCTTCGAGTTCCCCTAATCAGGCTAATCAGGGTGATGTCTTCCTCTTCTCTCTCGCGGATGGGGGCAGTCTGCACTACGTACGGCGAGAGCGGGCGGAGAGTCGATCACCAGGTAGCCCGACGACGACGACGACAGGTAGCTGTCTGGACGATCAGCTCATGCGAGGGAGCTCTCTCTCTCTCCGAGTGTCCTGACTAAGAGCAGGACCCCGACTGACCTCGGTGTGGCCGAGGAGGGCACGCACGGTCTCGCGCGTGGAGGAGCGTGTGTTGTGCGTCGCGTCGGCTGGGTAGCTTCCCCTTACCTGGCTTCGCTCACCGGGTTTCACTCTTCTCTCACCTGCGCCGTGTTCACGGGCGCGTGTGCTACCTGGAGGCCACGCCTACCGATGTTGGCGTGCTGCTCGAACGTGGTGGGGTGCACAGGGTGCATAGGAGGGAGAGGACGACGCGCGCGCGCTTCTTCCCCTTCTCGCTGCTGTGGAAATCGCATAGTCCGCTGGAAATACGTGCGATCGCGCGTATCTCTAACCCCACTACCACCACTATCGTCACCACCACGTCGTCGTCGTCGTCGTCGTCGTCGACGTTGCCGTCTCGGGGATGCGATCTAAACGTTGAAACCGGTGAGCGGTTTCCTGCGAGCGCGAGAAGGAAGGGGCTGCGGTGCAGGTGTTCCGGTATCAGTGTCGGACGCAATTTCAATAGCGGATTAATTGTCGTCGCGAAGAGACAGAAAAAGCAAGAGAGAGAGAGAGAGAGAGAGAGAGGTGGGGACGATGGATGGAGGAAGAGCGGAGACGGAATTAGCACAGGGATGTTCGTACGACTCGAGGAGGTGCGCACGCGTACCTACGCACGCACGCACGCACGCACGTGAAAACACACACACACATACACACACGCATATGTACACGTGGAGATGACGCGAGCGGTTCCGTTATTTTGCACGACACGCGCCGTAGATCATCGGGCGGATAATTAGCGGACCGCGACGCCCCGCGCATAAATGATTGAGTATCGCGGCGCGTTCGGTGTTCTCGAATTCAAATTGCCTGTTTGTCAGCGACAAGTTCCCCTTGATCGCGCGTGTTAATAGCGACGTAGCAGCAGACGCCGCGACACTCTTGGCTCGCGTGTGTGCGCGCAAGATTAAGTTATATAATGTGTTTATTTCGCCTCGAGATAGATTCTTCAAGGCTTATCTAACGATTTGTCTGCATAACGAGCGCGCGAGCGGGGGGGGGGGGTGACGAGTGACGAGAGAATGTCGCACGTTGGTCGTTCGGATTTCACGGCGTCCGGATGTTCGCGCACTTTGCCGCACTTTCGGTCGGGACTAACGAGAGAGAGAGAGAGAGAGAGAGAGAGAGAGAGAGAGAGAGAGAGAGAGGGAGAGAGAGATCTCGGACGTTGCTAGGACAAGTCCGAGTGCGAGTTGTTCTGACACTCGAATCGTCTCGAATCGTCTCGAATCACGCCGCTTAACACGCTTAGGGCCGGTTGTTCCAACTTCTTCCGGTAAGTTGACTGATAGTTAAATCATATTGTTGCGCTCACTCATACACTCGCGCCACGCACTCGGGAGAATGAGAACACTCGCGTTAGAATAAGTTAGCTTCACTATCTACAGCGCAGCTCGCTCAAGCTTTTTACAGGAGTACTTCTCTCTATATTTGACAATTCTCGCGTCTGTCCTCGATGACAGCTTGCCGGAGACTCTCTGTCAGCTGTTGCTGTTTCCCTCTTTCGATTTTCCGTCGTCTAGACCAGACAATCATCCTTCAGTTGTCAAAATCGCGGTTACCGGATGCCTAAGGCTCGCGAGCAACGGATGCTGCCACAAAACTTGTGGCTCGGACGCAACAATATGTTTATCTTTGTTGTTTCTTCCATTTGAAGAACAAAGACGGACTAATGATTTAGCTATCGGTTAACTTACCGAGGAGTTGGAACAGCCTGTCCTTAACCCTTAAAAGACCCACCGTCAGCGAAAATCACATTAATGCCTGTCACGGGTGAGATTTCGATATATATATATATATATATATTTCTTTTTATTCTGGAAATAGAAAAGACAAACGAACGCACTTGTATTGTTGCTGAATATCGGACAGGAAAGGTAGAGAAGCTATCGTTCGCAGCGGATATAATCCAACATTCGACAAGAACGAGACAAAATTTGCACGGGGTGAAATTTCACCCACGGTAGCCTCTAGAGCCTCTCGAGTGACGTCCAAACGAATTCGACGACGTGGTGGCTGAAGACGACTAGAAACTGCGGAAGAAAGCATGAGCCAATCACACGCTCATGGCGTGCGAAGATGACAAACCCTCGGCTTTGCGCGCTGCACAAATTTCATTGCCGAGCTTCGAGTATCCCCGTCGACGTTTGCTGTCGAGGCGTTGCGTCGTCGACGCTCTCCTGCGTCCTGTTTGGCATCCGACACGTCGTCGCGATACGGTGTCACTCAAATTCAGCTGAGGCACTCCTCCTCAGACGCAGCTCGCTGACGCTGACGGCTGAGGTGAGTGCCAATCCGATTTACTTATTCTCGCGATAAAACGACGAGCGATTTCGCATCTACATTCGCGCGTGTTTTCCACCCCCGTCGAATTTCCCTTCATTTTCATCTCAAATGTCCAATTATCCGCGGCCTACCGTCGCGCGCGTTACGAGTTGTAACTCGTCCATTTTAAGCCGCGGCAAGAGCAAACGCGATTTCACTACCACGCCAATAGGCATTCCCCGGCGCGCGCATGAGATATCTGCCGTTAGATTTGATTCGACAGAGACGCGTGAAGAGTAGGAGTAAACGAGAGGCGAACGCGTCGGCGCTGCCGGGATCGCTCTCTATTGGCTACCTCTCCTAGAAGAGGCGCAACGTCTCGAACGAGCCTGCCGTGTTCTAGACGAGCGCTCAAACACGTGCGCGCTCGTCTCGAGACACGTGTGCTGGAAGGGGCACGGCCAATCTGAGCGATGTTACGGACTTGCAACAACCGAGTTGCGGGCGAGATGTGCGCCACGAAAATGCACGCTGCAGCTCTCTCTCTCTCTCTCTCTCTCTCCCCCCCCTCTCTCTCTCTCTCTCTCTCTCTCTCTCTCTCTCTCTGCGAGCGGCTTCGCGTCGAGGGGTAGCGGCAGTCCGCCAGCAACCTCCCTTCAAGGGCGTGAGGGCGTGGAGGGTGACACGTGCTGTTTCACGTGGTGATTTCCGCGAATCCTGCAACCCTTGCCGAGCTGATGCCGGTGCGATACCTTCGTCTCTCCATCGCGTATCTCCTTCCGAAGGAAGGTCGTTACCTTCGAGAAATATCCACGTCGAAGACGCGAGCGCGCGCGCGCGAATTCGCGCGACAACCGCGGATTGTGCCGACGAGTTATATAATGCCTGCCAAGTTTCTGAGTGCGGGTCGTAAATTGCCACTTAAAAGTTCCAACAAGAGCAAGCAAATGAGCGCCGGCACAATCTTTGTACCGTCAACGAGTTTTCTCTCCGACAAGACTGATAAATACAATCGATTCATAAGTAAATATAACGAGTTTAAGCGTTTCGGCTCAAACTTCAGCCACCCCACCTTTCCCTCCTCTTCATCAGTGAGTAATCCTCTTCAGTGACGACATTACGAAATGAAGTAACCGTTAACTTTCAAGTGAGTTGACTCGTATGAACAAGAATTAATTTTCCCCGTTCTTCTTTGACGAGAATCTGAAGTTTGGATCGAAGCGTTCAAAGCGATTATATTTATGAGTCGACTTTGTTCGTCGCTTGTATCAGAAAACTCGCTTGTACAGCAGCGGCCGTTGTTTGCCTTTCATTGTAATTTCTGCTGGTTTTACATGGAGAGAGGCCAGTTAAGCAGTAAATACATTTAAAAAAATTACATTTAAAAAAAAGTAAATTGAAACACTGTCTGTCTCGATGTAAATTTCCGTGCCGTAGCGGCAATTGTAGTACTGAGTAACCGCGCGCGCGCGCGCGCGCGACGAACGATATGCGTTGCATAACGCGACCTGAGTTAACGCTTTGGAATCGCTCATTTCATAGCTCGTAACTACGTGGCAGCACAAAATATATTGCGGCACGTAATGTCAATGTCGGTTAAATTAAGCAGTTCAAGGACGCGCACGCGCGCAACGCGGTGGCAATGATAAAATAATTATCGTAGGCCGTGTATTTCCGGGACCAACTCTTCCTCGCGCGTGTGTGTGTCGTCATAGCGCGTCATATCGTGGGGTGCTAAAGGATAATAGAAGCGGAGTGCATAACACGGCAGGGGAGGGACGAAGCGCGCGCATCGGCCGGCCGCGCTTAATTGCACGATAACGGCGAAAGACGCCTCATAATTATCGCGCCGGCCGCTGTCCGTGAGCACAATTTCGCGTGACGCAAAAATGGACTTAATCACTTCGAAAAGTGGATTAATTATTCTCGCAACGACCCGACATCGGACGTCTAAATTATCGCTCGCGCGCGCGTGCGCTTGAAAATCGTGTCAAGGGATATCAATTCTTCGCCATTTGCGCTCGCTGCTCACCTGCGCGTCCTGCGCAGTAAACGACGCCAGTTTTACCCTTAAAAGCTAAAGGGATTTTTGATTTTGTTAAAAAGTGTAACTATACTGACAACATTAATTTTATAGGTATTTGTTC